CTCTAGTATTATTGAAGGATGCTAAACACAAGCTACCAAAGTTAGACTTTTTAAAATCAGATGGTCCAGATAGATTAAGGTGCAGGAATTTTACAAGATTTTCAATAATCCCTGTAGCATTGGGGACATTCCAGAAGAAAGCTATTTTTGTGCCAGTTTTTTAAAAGGGTAAATGGGATGACCTGGGTATTCTTAGGCCTGTCAGTCTGACATCTAAACCAGGCAAGATAATGGAGACCAGTTAACAAAGAATTAAAGAAATGAGATGTAACACCACAAATCAACATGGGTTTATGGAAGAAAGAGCCTGTCAAACTAATTTGATATATTTTGTGATATTACAAGTTTGATTGATTAGAGGTAATAATGCTGACAATATATTAAACATTTAACTTCGTACTGCAAAATTAATATATGCCATGTTAAGTGGATTAAAAACTGGCTGATTGCTCTCAAAATGCAACTGTAAATGGGGAATCAACATCAATCAGTTGGGTTTCCAGTGGCATCCTGCAGGGATCAGTTTTTAGTCCTATGCTATTTAATATTTGTATCAATTACATGGAAGAAAACATAAAATAATCACTGATCCTGATAAAGCTTACAGATGACACAAAACTGGGGGAAGTGGTAAATAATGAAGAAGGTAAGTCACTGATTTGGAATAGCCCAGATTGCATGGTAAACTGGGCACAAGTGAGCAATATGCATTCTAATATGGCTATATGTTAATGTAAACATCTAAGAGCAAGGAAAGTGTTAGAGAAAAGAAACTGCCCCCCACCCCCAGTAAAAAAGTTTGGCCAGGGCACTCTTGCTATAGTAGGCTGCAGTACTCCTTGGGAGAAACCGGCCGCACCCTTCCTGCATACCATTGCCTTTAGAAAAAGGGAATGTGTGAAAAGGGGAAAATAGCCTCAGACTCTCCCACCCGTCACCTTGGCGTGAGAACTCCGCCCAACCCTTGGGACACAGACCCCCCCACTTGGTGACCATTGGGCCATATATGGTAATATGCAAGCGCGGGAAAGCAATGTGCAGATTTGGGGATAAATACCCATCCCACAGTTCGCTCTAGGAGGTCTTCGCAACACACGTACCACCGTGCGTGTGTCTTCTTGTATACTTCAAAGCGCTGCCGGCCTAATCAACCGACCAACCACCTCCCCCGATATCTGTGAAATGTTCCGTGTGCTGTGTAAGTTGGTATGTATGATTTGATTTTTTCTTGTTGTATAAGCTTAGTGTTCTAGTTGTTTTTGGGTAGTACATAGAGTTTCTAGTTATCACTGTTATTTAATTAGTGTAGCTGGATATTTTAAGATTAGAGACTATTCCCCATGCCATTCCCAACCTTATATCTCTGACACGTTTAACTAGAAATCATAGAATAAATACTGTAAATTCATCATTAACACGGTCTATTAAAAATCTTAGAATAAATACTATAAATTCATCACTGTCATAAATA